TCCTCAGACTGTGTGTCTTTGGAAGGGCCTTTTTCCTTAGACATGCCTTTTTTTCCTTTTCCTTTCTGAATTTCTAAGCGCTTCCATTCCTCTGTTTCTGACATGCTGACCTGCAATCCATCTACCACTCCCCGAGCCGCTACGAGAACCAGAAGGGAGAGAACTAACGCTACTAACACCATAGCGAGAGCCTCTAAGGTTCCTGCCAACTGGGGAGGGAGACGAAATAAATCAAGTCGAAACCTGTCTCTCAGAGAGCATTACCTTGTTCTACGGTTCTGGATTCACTCCACGCGTGGAGGGTCTTCTTAAACGGCGCCGGCGATGGTAAATTCTCCCGGGTTTCTTGGCACCAACTGTGACGCGCGTGTAATTGTCTCGCCGGCAAGAACACACACACACACACACACACACACCGGAATCCTTCCATATGAACACGTTTATTCCTAAAAACCAAAATGGTGGAAGAAGACCCCCAGGCTTGGGAAAGCACTGCTATATACCCTAGAGCGGTGTATTCACCTCTGATTGGCTGCTTACTCGTTGCGCACCAAACGCCGTGGGATGGGCTTTAACTTTGGCTGGCTTTTACCATGGCACATGCGCAATTTACTTGTTTACTAGGAAGAATTATGGCTGATAGCGCCACCTAGCGATGGCGGACTTTGCCAGCACCCGCCGCGGCTCCCTACACTATTGAGTGTGAATGTGTCTACATATATGGCACATTAAGTATATGACTGAGTATACGTGTTTTTTAAAATAATTTATTTTTCTCAAATCGTAATTCATTCACACAGGGGTTATAAATACAGAAAGGCAGGACGTGGGGAAGGGGATGACACTGGAGCATGGGTGTTCAGGGGGAATACAGATATCTTTCAGAACCAGGTATTGGCTGGGGGAAGGTTCAGGGGGACAGATCACTATGACTCTGCCTATGATTCATTTGTCCTTATCTAAGTTGGTATTGTCTGCCAAGGCTACCTATTTACAAGGTCTATGACTACTCAGGCTGGTAAATTTCCACAAAAGCTGCCTGTTTACATTAGCTTATAGCTATCTGTTTCAATGTTTTTCCACTGAGACCCAAGACTTGGTGTTAGTATACATGTATGACAGGCCTATTGCTGATTTTAGACCTATGGTTGATTTTAGGCCTTCAGTGTCAGGGCTGCCCCTGACATCTCCTCCCTTCTCTAAGTATAGAAGGGCTGTGGCAATTCTAAACTTGCGAAGGCGGGGATAGAGGCCTGACCTCCAGTAATTGAAGGGGACCTTGTAATGGCTCCGGTCCCCCTGTCGTTGTCCAGTGAGGCATGAGGGTCATACCCGTCCCGATGTCTTTTTCCTGGAGAGGGGATACTTTTGACATCAACCCCTATGCAGTCAGGCTTGTCCTTCAGGGAACCCAGACAGATTTGTTTTTCTTTTATTTGTATTCCCTTGCCGTGCTTAGCCTCGAAGCCTAAGCAAGAATTCAGATTGAAGCCCCGCCCGCTTCCAATATATAAACAAACCCATTCAGACATGTTTCGGGAGAGCTCTTTTACCATACAAACCCACCGCAGTGACAATAAATCTGGACGTGTTTAACGCCACGTGTCTCTTGAAATCTTGGACTCATTGCGTAAGCCAAAATCCACGTGGTTTCGAGACGCCCCAGCCCGCTGCTCCGTGCAGGCTCACGGGACAGGGGGATGAGAAGCCTTTCTCTCCAAGGTCGGTTCCACCCAGCGCAACTGAACAACGCGCCTTGGACCGCAGCTCCACTGTCCGCTGCCCTGTGCCCTCGCCTGCGACCGGTGCACGGGTGGCGCCCAACAGTTTCTTCAGACAGAGAAATGAGGGATTTCTTCAGATTAGTGATGTCAATCTTTAGCTGTTTGATGTTCCTGTCAATGGCCCTTCAAAGGTCTGAGTAGTATAAGTTCAGAGGCCAGCATCAGGATTAGAACTTCTAACAGCAGACATCATGGGTGATTCATTTTTACCTATAAAGGAAAAAGAAGGGAATTCTCAGGGAGATTCTCTTCCCTGGATGTCAATTGTTATTCATCTTATTTATGGTTGGGCCTGGCTTTGTGGGGGTATCTATTTATTTCATTAATCTTTTTGGTAGCCGGTTAGTTGTGCCTTCTGTGGTATCAAACAGGCTTATCAATCCTTGGCCCCGTAAGGGTCTGGGCCAATCCCTTTAAGGGTAAGAGGGTGTTTCCCCATATCTGTGGCAAAGTTTTATTGGTTTCAGTGGTGCCAGAGGCAGTCAGCAGCAGATTTTCCATGAGCTTTCAGTTTTAGAGAGTTAAAAGTAAACAAGGCATGATGGAGAGTATTTCATGGGGACTCCTTCTGGGGGGTACCATTCCCCCTCTTTTGTTTTTAAAGCCAATTTTTCAGAGTTCTTGTAAAATCAGGGCAGAAGCACCAACAGTCTTTCCTTCCACACTCAGAGAGTCATGAAGACCCTATTTAAAGAAATATAAATCTATATTAATAATCTTTTATCTAAGGACTGTTATAGCACAGCTGACAACTAATCAGACTATATAGTATTTCGATTAGTAATAGCTTTTTCTACTTTTTGTGAGATTACTTCTCTTTTGGAGTATATGTGTTTTGATGCTCACATTTTTATAATTTTATATGTACTATATGAAAACAAGTATTCATTCATTTATTGAAGAAGCACCAAGATTTTGTTGTATTCCAGACACTGTCTTAAACACTGGGTATATTGTAGTAAACCAGAATGACAGTTTCTTTCTTTATGAATACTATACTCCCATGAGGTAGAAAGAAGACATGAAACTGTGCACATTATCAAAACAGTTGTAACCTGTGATAAAAGCTATGAAAGAAACAAATTATTTATGTTTGGTGAACATAGATTCACCAACCTCAATTAACTAGGTCTGAGCTGAATACAGACATATGTCATCACAATGATCATCCAACATGACCAAGTTGTCTTTATCTCACATATACAGGTTGGTACAACATATTAAAGCTAATAATGTAATAAATCACATAAATGGACTTAAAGATAAAAATCACACTATCATCTCAATAGATGCCGAAAGGACCTTTGACAAAAATCCAGATTTCCTTCATGAGAGTGAGTTTAAACATTCTCAAAAAATAAAAAGAAGTTGTGTGTCCTGAGATACTTGTATAAGAAAAGGAAAACTGCAGGAAGTTATGCTTGACTGAGACCCATTGGGACCCATTGTCGTGCAGTGTGATTTGAATGTCAGCCTCAGCACCATGGAAAACCACTAAAAGCGCATTAAGTATGTCCTATCAGGACAATTTTCTTGTGTGGGAAGTGGCTTGGCAGAGGGCTAGGAAAGCAGTTAAAAAGCTATTGTAAGCTGGGTGAGGTGGTACACACTGGTAATATCTGCACCAGGAGGCAAAGGCAGAGAATCATGAGTTCGAGGTCTGCCTAGCATGCAAAACTAGACTCTCAGATTAATTTAAAAAATGCTATAATGGTCTGAGTAAGAAGTCGCATTCACTTGAATTGGTGTGGCAGAAGGAGAAACTGTAAAGGATAGATAAATTAGCAAAATAGTTTGGAGGTTTGGGGATAACTCAGTAGTAGAAAGCTTGCCTCACATATGCAAGGTCTTGGGTTCTATTTATAGCTCAAAAATGGTATTTTGGAGGAAACACTAGCAGAAGGTTCTATTGAATTGGACTTAAATGTGAGTTAAAGAGAGATAAGGGCTAGTTCTGTAGTTCTTGGTTTGAATGACTGGGGAGCACTGATGCCATTTCCTGAGATGAATTTGGGGAAGGATTGTGGATATAGATGTCAATGTGGTAGAGATGTCTCTCTACCATATATTTGTCATAAATGTCCATGGATGTGTGGACTGTCTTGTTTTTATTTTTACCTTTTTATATCTGCTATGCTCAGATGTGGTTCTATAGTTCATCTATTTGCTTTCTACAACAAATGGAGCTGCGTTTACCTATTATACTTTTAATGAATATTGAACTTCTATTTTAAATATTTATAATTGTTAAGTGAGAGTTGTATCTTCTCTTAGTTTTCTTTGTATACATTTTGCTTTTAATAGAATTGAATGAGATATAGATTATCATGAGGGACATGGATACTATGGTAAGTATGTGGGCACCAAATGGTAACTGTGCAGTCGGTTCTGTCCTTTCAGCTTTCTGAGGGTTCTGAGGAGTGACCGCAAGTTGTCAGCATTGTACAGCAAATCTCTCTACCCATTGAGCCATCTCACTGGCCATGGCTTGAATGTTTTGAAAATTAAAAGTGGACTCTTCATCATTTGTATGTCATCTTCTGCTAGAAGCACCTACTATGGGCTAATCCTGAGGATATTTATTTCGATATTTGTTGTGAAAAATGCTTGCAACCATAAGTGGTTGGGATTTTTGAAAAAAAATTGAAATATTTGCATTTACATAATGAAATGTCTCAAATGGATCTCTAGTTTAAACGCAAAGTTTATTTTTCTTATCTACCTTATACCAAAGATTTTTTTATACAATATTTTTACTGTGCTTACATTTTCCTCAGTGTGTATGAGACCTATCACATGAGGTTAGGCGTAAAATTTTTTTCAGGGCTTTTTTTTTTTTTTTTTGGTATTACATCTGCCATTGAAAATTTTGGCTTGTAAATTTTTTTTGGATGAAATGCTGAACCTGTTCAGCAAAGAGATGTAGTGAATTCCTTCAGTCTGTAATTCCTAAGTGGCTTCGGATGCAGTCTAAAAAGGATCCGGATTTTCTATTTCTTTTCTGAGACTGAATGCAGGTGAAGTATTTAACCTAATATGAGAACACTTACCTGTGTGTCCGCTTGTGCTGCCATGACTGCTTGTAATGGTATACTCGGTAAACGCTCTTGATTTTCTTCCCTGATTTCACGGATCCTTTATTTGATCAGGTAGGAAGTGCTGGTGCTAGGTAATGGTAAGTTTCTAAAGGTGATTTTTTTTGTCTCTTTCCCCTAGGTCTTGGCTTTCCTTCATAGCCTCTTCATTTCTAACAGTTTGACAGTGGAGCTCACCCAGGATTTCCTACCCTACAAACAGCAGCTGCAGCTCAGCTTACAGAATGTGAGTTGCAGGTGGATGTCTTCACCTGTCTTTCCCTCAGAATTTGAGCCACAGTGGGCTCATCTCACTGGCCATGGCTTCAGTGTTTTGAAAATTAAAAGTGAATTCTTAACTTTGGAATTTCAGGCCATTTCACCACTGTCAGTTTGTTAGGACAAAGTGGTGTATCGTACAAACATTTTTAACACGTCGAAATGTTCTTGCTTTTTCAGTTTTGACTCTTCCCTGTCTTTGAGGTTTGCTGCTTCTCAGACCCATCATCTACTCAGAAATAGCTCTATCTAGCTAGGATTTATTAAGCATTGATACTTTACTATATCTCTTCCACATCAGAGTCCAGCTGTAGGCTTATTTAAACTTGAGGCTTGGGCCTTAGGCTAGTTGCCAAGTCAGTTAAGCCACTTGGTTTATTATTATGGGTATTTGTTATCGTTTTGTCTCATCACTTAGAGCTAAACAAATGAATTTTAAAATACTTCTCCAAGTTCATGCACATCATAGTTCTTATAAATGACTGTAGACACAGCATATTTTATGTATCAATACATGAGAATTTAGTAATTTATCATTTGATGATTATTTGTGGATACCATGAAAATATATCCTGTTTGAAACATCATGAAAGTCTTTGGCACACCAAAATGAGGCACCAAGGTTTTTCTGACTTACAGGATCATATATTTTCTAGAGTAGATAGATAAAGCTGATATCTTTTATACTACTTGTTACTATATGGAATCAAGCCAGCATTTAAAAAAATATTTACTTATTTAATTTATATGAATGCTGTATCTGCATGTATACTTGTGTGCCAGAAGAGGGCATCAGATCATATAACAGATGGTTGTGAGCCACCATGTGGTTGCTGGGAACTAAACTCAGGACCTCTGGAAGAGGAACCAGTACCCTTACCCACTGAGCCATCTCTCTAGTCCCCAAACCAGCATTTTTAAAGGAGCATAGAGAATGTAACAATTGGTAGTCAGAGAAGGTATTATTAAGATCAAGTGACATTGGACCAGGTGCTACATTGCATGATATTCATAGATGTATTTTTATATTAAAAACTGCTTGCTTAGGGGGATTGTGATGTACAGTTTTACCTACTTTTTTCTTTCTGCATTTATTCCTTTCTTCTGGGTCCTCTCCTTTACCTGAACGTGAGAGTACCTATTTTCTGCTGACTTACAAAATCTTTCTACAATCAAGTTGACTCCTCTGCCATATGTAACTTGACAAATGTGAGCTAATACCAAGCGTTTGCATGTGTACTCATGGCTGACTCATTGTTAGTGTAGTTCACATCTTCTTCACTAACATAAGAAGTTGCCATGATAACAGTATCTTTGCGAACCTTCTCTATAGTTGCCCTTGTTGTAAAGCAAGGGTCAGTCTAACTTCAGACGTTTCAAATTCTTATTTATGTGAAGCTTGAATTAATCTCAGTGGATAAAAGCTCTTGCTTCTTGTGGTATTTGTGTTTTTGTTTCCTTTCTAGTACATAGTACATTAAACTCTAGAATTATTTTCTAGTTACTACTATTCAGCAGTTTTGTATATGTTTTAGCACATGCTGTGAGGAGAGAAATCTCTGTACTATATCTATGATGGATAAATACACAGTCCTGTTGATGATAATAATGATAATGATTATAATGATTTCTTGACAGACAAGAAATCATTTCTCCAGTACCCGGGAGGAAATGGAAGAACTTAAGAAAAGGATGAAAGAAGCTCCTCAGACATGCAAGCTTCCAGGACAGCCAACCATTGAAGGCTATCTCTATACACAGGAGAAATGTGTGTGGGCATGCAGGGTCATCCTCTGGCTTTCAGGAGGCTTGCTGCTTTACCTTTCTGAACTCTGAGAACCCATGTGTCCTTTGTAGATCCATGCCAGATAGAACTCTTTGGAGGGCAGGGCAGGAATAGTAAAAATGCAAAAGAAAGAAACTTTAGGGGTGTGTTAAATTACTATGTCATAGAGTACGATGTCTTTAAAGTTTTCTCTGAGATTCAAGATGAGGAATGTTAATTGTGTATGCTCAACTTTGGGTCAAAACAGAGGTAGGGCAAAGGAAGTAGAAAGATTGTATTTACTGCACTTAATATGTACACTGCTTTAAAGGTCTCATCCCATTTAGTCTTCGAGCCCACATTATGCTTAAGTTACACTAGAGACCACTGAGGCTTCAAACACTCACTAGATCAAAGGTTAACTTCAGATGTATCCTATACCAAAACTGATACCCTTTCCCAGTGTACTGTATCCCACTCACCACTCTCAGAGCTTATACAGCAGTGCTTCTCAACTTGAGGGTCATGACCCCTTTGTGGGTTGAAATGACCTTTTCACAGGGGTCACTTAAGACCATTGGAAGGCACTTTTAAAAAATGATTTATAACAGTAGCAAAATTACAGTTATGGAGTAGCGACAAAAATAATTTTATGGTTGGGGTCACCACAAGCTGAGGAACTATTAAAGGACCTCAGTGGTAGGAAGGTGGAGAACCACTGCTCCACACTGTGAAGCGGTGAGCAGCATCCTAGTTTTCTCCTCACTGTGTGTTAGTAAGACTCTTCATAGATGACAACATAATCTGTCTACAGTGAAGTAAAACTGTGTCTAGCTAAGAACCTCTGCTACATAGTGCAGGGTGCTTCTGTGCCTCAGTTTTCCAAGTTGTCACAAATGGCTGCCACTCCATAAAATGAATGCTCACCAAACCACTTTTTGGCCCAAGTCTATGCAACACATTGAGAGTACAAGAACAAAATGAACCTCACATTTTTTTTTTATTCTGAAAGCAATTCTCAGATTGACAGGAGAGATAGGAAAGTATATTTGTGAAGCATTTAGGGCACTCTCTTTGGGGTATATGTCTAAAAGCTTCTCTGAGGAAGTGATGTTTGACTTAGAAGTTCAGTGAGAGAGTGACAGGTTTAAAAATGGGATGAGGGTGGGTAGAGAACTTCCCATGTGCGCTGCTGTATGAGTAGAGGAATAGGAGTGTTGGAGAACAGACCTCATGCTTAGGTCTTGGTTTGTTGAGAATAACTCTTGTCCTGATGTAATTATTTTAAATATATGTTGTGTGCAATCATTCTTAACTACATGTTGAGTTTGCTGTACAAACTATATGGCCACTTAAGTATTTGGCAACTGAAAGAGCATAGAGGAGAGGGTACCCAGTGACAAGGCCAGAAGGGTCAATTTGATCAAATCATGCAGGGCTTTAGAGATAGACTACGTTGTTTGGAGAGAGTAGGAAAGCTATGCATAATTTATGACAAGGGAGATGACATCAATAGAACGATCTTTTAAAGTAATGTTCTAGCAAAATGGTGAAGAAGGGTTGGATAGGAGCAAATCAGAGCTGGGGAAATGAGAGAAGCCTGCTTGAAATGATTAATAGGAAAAAATGTACATTCGTAATTTATTAGAAATGTTACTAAGTATTAGGAAAACAAAATGATGATAACACCCTTTAACTCATTGCTAAAGGGGTAAAAAGTAGAAATACATGTATGGAAGAGAATGGACACAATTCAGTGTTAGTCAAATGAGAGATTTCAGGAAAGAGCAACCTGGCAGGGGTTTCCAGCTTCTGGATGCATAGATGTCTCTATTCCCAAGGACTGCTGTATAAAGAGTAGGTTTAGAATGAGCCAAGAATGGATGTGGGAAGCATTTGGTGAGGTTTAGCATCTCTGTGGGTGCAGTAGGTAGGTAAAGATGGTGCATAGACAAAGGGCAGTGACTGACCTGGGATCTGTTAGCAAAGAATAACCAATAGGCTGGGAATGTTTGTACTATGTAGAGGCCTTATGTTCAATCTCAAGCCCCGGAGGGGAAAAAAAAAAAGCAAGCCATAAGCAGCTTCTGCTTTGGGGAGGTGAAATATTCTGCTTGCTCACTTTCTTCTGTCTTGTAGGGGCCCTGGGGATATCTTGGGTAAAATACTACTGTCGGTATGAGAAAGAGACCAGGACACTCACCATGACACCAATGGAACAAAAGCCGGGTGCTAAGCAGGTCAGTTTTTGTTAGTGTTAGTTTTTGAGCTCATTTGTGTGATGGTATGTCAGAAAAGAATATATATTGACACAGTGTCAAATAATCCAATCTATCTATCACTGTCGTGTAAAACCAAAACTTGGTTTGGTTATAGAGAAAAGATTTTGCTTTGTGGTCCAGGCTAGTCTGGAATTCATTGTGTAGCACAAACTTATGCCTTAAACTTATAGCAAGTCTCCTGTCTACGACTCCTGAGTGCTGGGATTAACAGGTGTGTTGTATCATATGCAGTTCCTACCATCATCATGGTGTCTTTACCTTTCCAGCCTATTTAGTATAACAGTTGCCTATACTTGTACAAAGAACATATCCAGAACATGAATGACTTTGTTAAGTAGTGAGTTCTTAAAAATGTGACTGAATTTCTTGTATGCCTTTATTAAAAGCACATCTATATGTGTGTGTATATATCCTAATATTAGTGTCACCTCCACACAAGGAAAAATTTGTATAAGTAGTACATATCTCTTCCTCCCCTCTTCAGGCCTTGTCCTACTTGTCAAAATGCCTCGGTAAGTTTACCATTGAGAGGCTAGTTTATTCTCCTGAAAGAACCTGATCCTTTCCATGCACTGATATTTCTACAGTGATCATCACATCGTTCATTCTCTGAAAGTATCCCCTTCACTTGCTTACCTACATGCTGTCACTGTGAACCTTTAAAATATTTACATGTTGCTAGAAGCTTTAAGTATATACAGGAAGGCCCAATTGAGGTAGACAGGAATTTGGAGAAAACTGCCAATTTATATTAACAGTATTTTCTGTAGATGACCAATCTGGTATAGCTTGGACATAGAAAACCAGGGGGGTGAGTTTTGATTATAGACTGTTGAAAACTACTTTTTGCATCAGTCTTTAAACACAGAGCCTACTATTGTACCTCAAATGTATGTTTAAGCTGGGGTACACTCTTTGTCAACAGGCTTCATCAAATTCATCTTGGGTTATGGTATAGGATTTGTCCTTCATCAGCTTGAATTTCTCCAGTATCTGAGTATCAAGTGCTTATGTGTAACACTAGCTGCAGTCTTTTTTTTTCCTATTTCAGGTTTGGGTGTGGTGGTTGTCGAGATGTGGCTTTGAGGAGCCCAGGATAGCTTTAAACTCATTCTAATGTAAAGCATGACCTTGAACGTTTTATCCTCCTGCCTTACTTCCTGAGTTCTGAAATTACCAGTATATGTCTCCACGACTGGTTTATGTAGTACTGAGGATAAATCCTAGGGTTTGAGATATTTATAACTAGGCTAACTTCTAAGCCCCATTGCTTTCAGTTCTACACAAATTGTTATCTGGAGGTTGGACACTAACTTTACTCTCATAGAGAGTAATATCTTTTAGAGTTTTTTTTTTTAATTCCTGTTCAAAAGAACATTCTTTCCAGGGCAAAATCAGTAGAAAACACTTTTATATACCCTTAGCCTATGAGAGCAATTTAGTTTTTCTTTCCTTCTTGTTTCATTGAGTGGATGCTTGCAAAACTGCAATTGTATGAGCCTAACAGTGAGCCTAAGCAGGGTTTTGTTTTATGAGATGGAATCTTTCTATGAAGCTCTGGCTGTCCCGTAACTCACTGTGTGGACCAGACTGACCTTGAACTCACAGAGATCCACTTGCCTCTCCATCCGTGTTTGCATTAAAGCCATGTGTGCCTGGCCCTCAGCCTAAGCAATTTTAATGTGGAATCCCTTAAGGGATTGGAAGAATTCAGCTTTCCATGTAGAAAGTAGTGACAGTGTTATGTAATGTGGCAGTGGGTGGAGGTAAGGAGGTACCTGACTGGCTCATGCCAAGACATTGCCCTGAGAAATCATGCTATACAATGAACCCGCTATGAAGGGAGTTATTTGGGGGAAAGAAAGGGAGTGCGGGCCTGGAGAAGGCTAGGGGCAGAAAGATGGGAGCAAAGCCATGAGGTCAGAGAAGGGGGGTAAAGAAGGACAAAAAGAAGGACAGAGATGGGGAGAGAGGGGCTGGCTTGGAACACTCAAGACTAGATAGAGAGAAAAGTGTATAAGTAAGTATGTGTGTGTGAGAGAGAGAGGGAGAGGGAGCGCAAGCAAGAGTGATCTGGGTAGCGAGCAGTCCTCTTACATGCTGCCAGCCAGCTGCATCTGGCAGTAGTACTGCTGATGACAGTCTATTGCTAGGTTTCTGGGAGGAGTCTAGCACAATCGTCTGTAAGCCAACAGATGGAGAAGAAGTAGTAGTTACTGAAGTCACCCAATTTTTATTTGAAGATATTTTTTCTTGTTAGTCTTCTGATACCATTCCTAGTAATACTTCATGTTTCTGAAAGGAAAATAATATAAATAAATGATGCTATGGTGATAATCGCCGCAGCAGCAGCAGCAGTAGGTAAGAACCACCTTTTCCTAAATGCCAGTTGTCTTCCAAGGACATTTTCTACCAGGTACCTTATCTCCTCTTTGAGCAGCACTATGGAGCAGATATCATGAGCTTAATTTGGAGATAGATATTTGCCCTCTTCCTTACTGTGACACAGTGTCCCCTGGTAGTTCAACGTATAAAGTCTTACTTATGTCATATACTCTGTTTACCAGTCTCCTCCAAAGCAGTTATTTATTTTTTATCAAAAATTTACCCTTTCATGCTAGGCATAATGAAGAAGAGTTAATGGAAGTTTGAGTTCTTGTAGTGGAATAACAGCAGAAATGATTGGCCCATGAATGGCCAAGCTCACTGAGAGAGGAACACCTGGTGGTTACCTAAAGAACATTATGATCTGAGATTATTTATATATTCAGTTTTATTTATTTGTTTTACATTTTAAAATTCTAGACAGAATCTTCCCATACAATCCAGACTAGCCTTGAATTTGTTATCTTTCTCACTCAGGTTAGCGTTTGGGGATTACAGGCATGCATATCTCATCATGTCTGAGCTGGGTATGAATCTTAGCTCTGTGATCTGTTTACTTTTCAACTGAGTACATTGGTATTTGCCAACGATGCATATTGTTTTGATGGATTAGTGCCATAAGTCCAGACCTGGAGCATATGCTGTGTTTGAGTTTGAGACAGTAGGCCAATAGTGCTCTTGTTATTTAATAAATTGCGAAGACTCAGAGCAATGGCCTTCCCAGGGAGGGTCATATAGCTAGCAAATGGCTTACCTACAGCAGTATCCCAAATCTTAACCTTCCTTGTTTAATGCTACTTGGCCCTTACCAACTTGCATATCACTAAGAAATTTTATCTCTCATATTCACCTCTAAGGGTTATGGTGAGGGAAGTATGTGTTAAACTACATCAAAAAAATAGTAAACAACCAATTCATTAAAAATTCCTTGTACAGTATATGGTTCATTGTGTTAACTAAATCTTATAACCCTTGGGTGCCACATTGTCCCTGCTGAGATAATAGAGGAAACACAAACGATGAAGTATCAGGTAGTTGGTCTGTGGCCACCAAGGGGTTTGGCAGATTTGTGTTCCCACGGGAATATTATGAACCACACTACCCTACAAGTATCAAATGTAAAAAATGTTGCTTTGATTAATAAACAAATCTGCCTGTTTCTGTGCTTTTTTCCTACCTCTGGAGAGACTGTTTTTATGACTTTTGTCGTCTTGAAGGTGTGTATTGCCACTCACCTTTTCTCGAACATTCCAGGTTTTAGATAGCTAATTACCCAGTTTCAGTTTCCTACTCAGAGACCTCATGAAAATTTTATTATGAATGCCATTTGGGCACTGCATTTCTCCTGCACTGCCCTGGTGATGGGTATTGAGCTTCTCTTGTATCTGCTGTACTTGGGAAAGGGCACTAGCCTGCCCTGAGCATTTTCATTTTCTCCTGGTTTTGACCACTGATACTTGGAACAATGAGAAGCCATCGACCATGTAATTCCAAGGTTTGAAGGTAAAGGTTCTTAGTGAATCAACCCATTGCTCCTTCATTCAAATGACCCTAAGGACACTACAGATGAGGGAAGAGACTTCGGGATTTTAAATAAATGCTTCTTTCTTTTCAGGGACCTGTAGATTTAACTTTGAAGTACTGTGTGAGACGGAAGACAGAGTCAATTGACAAGAGATTCTGTTTTGATATTGAAACTAATGAAAGGTAAGTTGGGATGCTATGAATTAACAGGATCACCATGTACCACCCATGACTTTGGGTGGCTCTTTTATTTTCCTCCCTCATCTCTTGTTTCTGAAAAGGAGCATGTTATATATAGACCATTGTTGTTCCTGCCTCTCAATCTGCCCTTCACAAGGGTCCCTGTTAGATCTGGCCAAAGCATTTTGTTTAGTTTAGTTTAGTTTAGTTTAGTTTAGTTTAGTTTAGTTTTTGTCTTCTATATATCTATCAGCCACATTTACCTCATTGGCTCTGACCATAGAAAAGTATCTCCTAGAATTTAATTTGCTGTCACATATGCAAAACTTTGCTGTTTTTTTTTTCAAAGTGCCAAAAAACCTGACAGAATAACCATGCTCATTCTTTTTAAGATGATTCTCTTAGTCTGACTCAGGAAGTAGAGTGACACAATTTGGAAGAGAGGGTGAAGTGTAGAGGTAGTATTAGTGACTTTCCCCCGCTTATTGTAAAATGATGCAAGCCTTTCCTACTTTGAAGATATCTATGTGAACTAGAGTAATTTATTGATTTTCAAATATCTGAGCCATTGCTTGCAAATCTGAGGCATGGTTATATTGTTTCTTTTCAACACCTTCTATTCCTCTTCCCTCCACCTCCAGCTAAAAACAGTTTAATGAAGGATAATTATACTTTTGTCTATTTTTTAATACAGTTTATTCTGATTATGGTTCCTTCTCCCACAACTCCTCTTAGACCCTTCCCACCTCCTCACTCTCCCAAATCCACACCCTTCCCTGTGCGCTCGCTCTCGCTCTCTCTCTCTCTCTCTCTCTCTCTCTCTCTCTCTCTCTCTCATTAGAAAACCAGCAGATGTTTAGAAAATATAAGGTAAAATAAAAACAAACAAACCTGAAGAGGACAAAACAAATCAACAAAAAAAAACAAATAACCAAGGAAAAAGTACAAGAACCACATATAGACTCAGAACACACACATTGGCAAACAGAAATCCTATAAAAATTAAAAAAATTAGAAACCATAATATATAAACAGACACCTCTATCCTTTGGAATGAAAGTATTTGACATTATTTTGGTGATAAGCATGCTTGCTGGTTAAGAAGTTCCCCCAAAGTCAGTGAATATGTATGCTACCTGATTTCATTGTCATCTGTTATTTCTATATATCAGGTACTGAGTAATAGAGAAGAATTTAGCCAAATGATTAAATTGCTAGAAAGAACCTTAATCAAGAGGTTATAATGTCACAGAAAAAAAATCATTAAGGGCTGAGATCAACAAGATCAGATGGACTAAGAGATTAGAACATTTTCCCTATTATTTAAAAATTGGAATATCTTTGAACCCTCATAATTTTGGTTTGTGGGTCTCTATGACGTCTTTCTTAAAAAATAGATGATTCCCATCGAAAGGACTGTGATAGTAAACAATGTTATCAGTAACCATGTGACTGGCACTCATTTTTCTAATAACATCAGGCCCTGTAGCATGAGAAAAACAACTGGGCTCTGACTTCCTTTTTGAACTTTTAGCATCTCTGGTTCTGCATCATCTACGTGCTTAATAGTGATGAAATATTCCATGTCAGATTCCATGTTGATTCCTTTTTTAGCTTAAATTTGCCAGCTACCTGTAAATAATATTTTCAACTCAAAGCAATTGCAAATAGTTTGGCTCTAGGTGAGACAGTGGGTGACTTTTATTTTATTTTTTATATTTCTTGCACTGTGTGCTGCTATGATTGACTCTTTGTAGTTGATAAGTTTGGTGTTAATTTTTAGATATGTTCTTTTCTCTTCTAGAATTCCAAGGAACTTTTGTAGTAGAACCTAGGAACTAAGGTTATGATTCACTTGTGAATACTTATCATATTATTTGTGTGTTAAAAACCATAAGCTTACTCAATTTCTTCACCCCATTTTAAACATGAGAACACCAAGATTCAAATACATGAGCTGTCTCTCCTGCAAGACAGAGTCCTGAGTTGTAGGCCCCCACAGTTATTGCCTTTGTGATCTCATTCCATTATTGATCAGAATAGTCAATAACATCATGCACAGAGGTCAACACTCCCTTCACATGGGACCTTGTCAGGTTGTGGCAGCTACTACCCTTACTTGTCCATCTGATCTTAGAAAGAGTCAGGTTTCCCAGGGATTACACATATTGACTCACATTCTCTGGGGTGCCAAGCAGAAGTCTCTTACTCCTTTTTTTTTTCTAGTTCAGGAAGGTAGAATAGCATTAAAATAATTATGTTTGTACCAATATTTGAAATTATAGGCTTATATCACACGAGAGTGCTGCCGTTTTCCAAGTGACTCCTGCCTGTCCAGCCCTTTTCTTAGCCCTTTAAATGAACTTTAGTCTTTACCACATACAGTTTGCTATTACCTGAAGTTCACAATAGAAGATAAGGAGGCAAAAGAGAAGTTAACTAATTTGAATAACACAGCTACTAACTGGTGGAGCCAGGGTCCAAGTCCAGGTGTTTGAATCTCTAAGGAAGGCTGCCTTCTTAACCAGTGCACTCTAATGAATGTACGCCATCCCCTGCCTATTGGTTCCAGGTGGGCAAGCAGAACTTCCAGGAGGGCAAACAATTCATCTAAGGTTATAATGACTCCTATGTGAAGGACTCTGAACTAGTCCTTAGTTCTTTTTCCAGTCTCCAATCCTTAATATTCTTTGAATTTGACTATCTGTAGCACTAAAGAATCTCCAAATGCATCCCTAAGAGTCAGACATTTACTCCTCTAACTTCTGAGGTCAGAGGTGAGCTGACAGGTGGGGCAGCTGGGTTCGATGAGTGGCTCCACTCCTCAAACTGCCTAGTTACTTTCGTAGCTGTTTTGCATTTGCTTGCTCTCCCTCCTTTTGGCTTGTGATTTGGCTGATAGCTATCCAATCCTGCAAGACATATTCCAAAGGATGAGGTTCTTAGAGGAAGGTAAATGGGGAAGAGTTTAGTTTTGAGAGTCAAGTGCTGGCTTTTGGTTAATTTTATCTTAAAGATCATTTACCTTGGTAGGTAAGGGGTATGACAGGAATCCCCTGATGTTAGCACTGTGAAGTAATTCCCAGAGTGTGTGTTCCAGTACACTTAGAGGAAGTGACAGTGCAGAGGGGCAAAGTGATTAACCCAGCATCTTTGAATGTTCTTGTTATTGCTCTTACATCCTGCAACTTGGAGTGAAGCTGCATGGTGTAGAAATGTGGGAGGTGAGCTTCTCATATTGCTGGCTTCAGGAATCTGCTCATTGCCAAGTGTCCTGTTTGGTTCTGAAGGTCTAGCTATATTAGAATAGGCATATCCATCTTTAGTGTCTCTGGATAAAAACAGTGTCCTTATCCAGTTCATTGCTTTAATGTCTGAGAATGGGTTGCAGCAGAAATTTATTTCTTAGGGTTCTTTGGTTGGGAGTTCAAGATCAGTACACTAGCAGGTTTGGAGTCTGGGAATCTTTGTTTCCAAGATCGTGTTTTGCCTCTTCATCTTCTAGAAAGAACATGCTCATTGTTCTCACATGGGGGAAGGGAGAGAAGGGAATGGACTCTCTACTTCAAACCTTTCTTTAAAGGTGCTGTGCCATTTCCTGAAGACTCAACTTACTATTCTCCCATTGGCGATTACAATATAAGAGGATTTTGGAGGGTGTGTGCAGGTGCTTATTTATATTTTCATACCGTAGCAGAACGCCAGAAAGTAAGTAGAATCAGAGTTTGGAGCAATGGACATAAACAAGAGGCCATATAGTACAGTGGTTAAGAATCTTGTTTCTGAAGTATATTACATACATTTATGACAATGTTCCAATAAAAATCATCATTTTGTACAATGAATATCCATTAATTGAAACTATATGTTAAAAACAGTGAAAGAAGCACAAGATATCACTCTCTCAGGTGAATTTTCTGACTTCAACTTGTTATTTTTCCACCCCAGACCAGGAACCATCACTCTTCAGGCGCCTTCAGAAGCCAATAGAAGACTATGGATGGAAGCCATGGATGGGAAAGAACCTGTAAGTTATCTCAGACACTGGAGTAGGGTTGAGAAGGGTACAGAAGGAACCTCAGCAGCATAGGTCAGTGTGTGAGTGCCCTCTAGTGGTAGCAGTGGGGAAATGGTCATAGATTCTTCAGCAGATTCTGAATCTTCGAGCTAGAAGGAATTGGCACTTTCTCATGTTTAATCCAACCTGAGTTTCAAATATGTGGGACTTCTGTAGGAATTTTATAGGACATCCTCCAGAGAAGGTGCTACAGCTACCTGCTCCAATATTAAATTCTGTAGCTATTCCTACAAGTTTTTAAGAATGAAAACTAATCCTTTTTCAGAGTATAAAATTGATTTGTCCATAAAGAAGGGTAGGAAAATCAATGTCATAGATGTAAGTAAGCCTCCATTTAGCTTTCTTATGATTTTTCTAACTTTCTTGTCCCACAAACTCAACTTGTTCTCTTTCATCGGAGAGGAGATAAGAGTTGCACCTTCACCATTTAGGCTGATAGAGAGGAAAAAATCCTTTAGAACAGTCAGAATTAGTTCTACATTTAAAACAATTGTCTTAGTCAGGGTTTCTATTCCTACACAAAACATCACGACCAAGAAGGAAGTTGGGGAGGAAAGGGTTTCTTCAGCTTATTCTTCTACATTGTTGTTCATCACCAATGGAAGTCAGGACTGGAACTCAAGCAGGTCAGAAAGCAGGAGCTGATGCAGAGGCTATGGAGGGATGTTACTTACTGGCTTGATTCCCCTGGCTTGCTCGGCTAGCTTTTTTTTTTTATAGAACCCAGGACTACCAGCCCAGGGATAGCACCACCCACAGTGTGCCCTCCCACCTTGTTCACTAATTGAGAAAATGCCTTACAGCTGGATCTCATGGAGGCATTTCCTCAACTGAAGCTCCTTTCTCTGTGATAACTCCAGCTTGTGTCAAGTTGACACACAAAACCAGCCAGCACAACAATCAAAGCAGAAAGCATTCTCTTTTCAACATCTTTCTAGTAGTTTCTTTTGGTGGCATGTGACATAGCATGAGCTACAAATGCCTGGTCCTGGTTTTGCTGTTACATGGCGATGCCTTAAGCTAGTTATTTTGCTGTCTGTCACTCAGTTTTCTTCTTCTCATTTTAATGATTTCTGCTCTACATACCTTTTAGGATTATTTTGAACAACCAGGTGAAAACCACCCTACACATACCACAGTGCTGTATTAGTTTTGGGTCCTTTTCTCTGCTTTGACAGACTACTACAGTCTTCGAATACAGCATTACTTCCTGGCTCTCTTCAAGTGAAAACCTAGCCTGTGGGGAAACATATTTTTTCCTTTGTGTCCTTGGTTCTCTGTGGATTAAAGAGGCATAATCAGTGCTAGTGAGATACATGGCTTAGTGAGTAAAGGTACTTGCCGTCAAGCTTGGGATCTCAGGAGTCCAATTATCTAGAACCTACATGGTGGAAGGAGGGAACTGACAAGTTGTCCTGATCATCACGTGTGTTGTGACATGCATGCCCCTCCCCTAACGCAAATAAAAATATAAGTGAAGGAAATTAAGAATGTAGTGGCCAGCTCTGAGATTGTATTTGTAGCTGCTAGAACTAGAGTGGAGTGTATTTCCCAGAAACCTGAAGCTTGGTCCTTGATGTTTCTCTCAGAGGATGCTAGGAGCAAGGCATTTCTATGTCCATCCGTCTCCTCCAATTTGTCTCCCTCTAGGTTCTTGAATATCAGAAGGGATTAGAGGCTAATTGTGGAGAATGATGCTAAAATACAGATCCTCTGAACATGCAACCTCCCTAGCTTGGCTGTGGCTGACTCTACTGAGCCCTTGTTTATAAAGGTCACAGCAAATGCTGATCAATGGAGAAATGCCTCTCCCTGAAGTAATTATGAGGATCTACATATGCAGCACTTTTTCTTTTGGAAAGAAGAGACTGGAATTGCTTCTTCCATCCTCACCTAGTGTTACATTTTATTAAACACAAAACCACTGATCATATGGGCTGTGTGTGTGCCTTTATGTCAAGTGTATCAATTAACCATCTTACTTTAACGTGTACTATTTTGTGCTTTGTTGGCTCTTCTTTTTCCAATGTCTTAAGTTGCCTCATTAAGTTATTCAAAATTTATCTGATTTTTAATGTAAGTGATCAGAGCTATAAACTTCTACTTTAGGACTGCCTAAGAGTGTTTTGATGTATTGCATTTTAAACTTTATTAAATTTTAGGGAACTTTTGATTTCATTTCCTCATTGATTCATCATTAAATGGCTGTTTAATCTCCACAAACTTGTGTATTTTCTGCTATTTCTCTTGCTGTTGATTCCTAGCTTTATGTCATTGTTTCTGAGTTAGCATTTCTTTGTATCTTAGTATATGATCCATTTCAAAGTGAACTCGATGGGTTAAGTATGTATGTATAGTCTGTAGAGTTTGGATGGAGTGTTCTTTAAATTTTTGTTGGGCCTATTTATCTATGATGCCATTTAGTTTCAATGTTTCTCTTTTACTCTTTGTTTTGCTTTGGGTTTTTTTTGGGGGGGGGAATTGATCTGCATAATGGTGAGAGTAGGGTATTGAAATTTTTCACTATTATTTTGTTTGGGTGGATCTGTGATTTTTTTCCTAATGGTATTTGTTCTATGAAATAGGATCAACCAGTATTCTGTATGTAAAGTGCATATGTTTAGAATGGTATCAATTAACCATTTTACTATTAATGCCCATTACCTGGGTGTTCTTAAGAAGACCACTTACTTTAAAAAAAATATATTCTTGCTTCACCACAAAATGTTGCCCTGAGCTTTACCTAAATAATGTGTAAGGTGAGTCAGCTGCAGCTTCAGCTGTGTGAACTATGTGACTATCCAGTACAACTCTCAGGGACTGTGTTTTTCTAGGGATCTGGGTAAAGAGAACTCAGTTTCACCTCCTTTTTGTTGTTGTTACAGGTCTAGCATCTCTAATAATTTTGATAGCCTATCTAGGGAATGAAACTGACTCCTATTTGTCCTACCCATCTGTAGTGAGTCACAATAACTTGGTCATTTTTGGTTTCTCTTTTGTAGATCTACCACACTCCTATAACAAAACAGGAAGAAAGTAAGTAATTCTAGCTTTTATTCTATGGACAGCATAAGCTCAAAGTTGTCCCATTGACAGTAAATGCTGGTATTGATGACGTGCACCATTCAAACAAAGCTGTGCAAAATGAAACCTAGCCCTGATTTGAAATTACACATTGATTGAGCTAGGGAAGTTACTCCATTGAAACTTATGATGTGAAAGCTACTGTTGATCCAGAGAAATGCATCATCTCCTCCTTGGTCTAGATCAAAATTCTATGGATTTCCACGGTAGCATTTCCTATTTGACATTGCTCATGTTTAGAGTAGATGGGATATAAAGGGCTGAGCAGAAGCACTTTGTGTTATAACAGTGTAAACCTACCCTGAGCATGGCATCATTCAGTCTGAAGGTGAGTGGAGATGTACGCCTGTCCTCCCCGTCCTCACTGAAGTTCCTTCCTGCACCTCTTGAATCTTGGGTAGAAACTGCATATTATGATATGAACTAACTCTACTTTCCTTTCCTCCAAACAGTGGAGCTGAATGAAGTGGGATTCAAGTTTGTTAGGAAGTGCATCAATTTTATTGAGACCAAAGGTAAGATAGAAACCATCACCTTGAAAGTGTTGAAATTGCACTCCACCATCTCTGCTTTTACCCTAAGGAATCTCCTCTCAACGTTTTTATAAAGCTTGTGTTTAGCACTCTAATTGGGGTTTGGGCTTGGAAGAATGAAGCCTAAAATGACACAAATTAAAGTCTCCTAAAATAGCCAGTTTTGTTCAGAGCCCCAGACAATTTATATTCTAAGGGTTAGGAAGAGTCACATGAGGAAAGTATACAGTCACAAGAACAAACCACACGCAGTACCCAGTTGTGATGACTGATCTGAAGTAAACTCACTCCTAGCCACTATAGCTGGAAGGGGCTCAAAGACACATTCTGAGAACAATTCCATATTTTTGAAGAAACGAGAGGTCACAGGACTCTTATCTTGTTTTCTTGGAGTTTTCTCACAAGCACTCAGAATTTCCCCTTGCACAAGTCCATTTCTGGACTGTGTTCTCATAGCCTGTACACTGGATACAATTTTTAAGATTTCAGCCAGTTCTAAACTGGCTCCCATCATAGCGTTCTTCATCCAACCATAGATGCATAATTTGTGATCTTCACTTTTAGAGAGTGAAGCCTTTCAGTGATTTAGGATGCATTCTGAATTAGCACCTACTGTTCCTCAAGCAGTTTAGTGATGCTTCCATCTCAAACAACCAAGAGCTCGTCTTCTACCACATATCATTTTAATAGCATCTTAAAAATTGATGGGTTCATATCTAAACTCGGGGACATGAAGAATTAGCACACTTCTCCACTGACCGTTAAATGACTTTGTTTCCTTCTGAGGCTATTTAGAGTGCAGGTGGCTGTGGTGTCTGAGTCATTGTGTTTTCTTTGAAGCATTGCATCAGCCTTCCTCAGTGGGAAAGTGGGCTTTTGCTTCACATTTGGTGTACTCCAACCTTCTCCTTTATAACATAGCCTGAGAACAACTGGGGGATTGATATCACCTCCGTGTATTTCAGTCGCTAGCTCCTTTCCAACCCGGCAGACTGTCTCCCTGCTACCTGTTGCGACTCATTGAAGCACATGCTTATTTACTATAGAGTGGGTTCAGATTTATGGGGGAGGGGGGGGTAGGTTCAGTCAAATGGAATCATGACAGATTTTTGGATGCATGATGAGGACTGTAGGATTGTTCCTCTGTAACAGGGAAGGGCTGGAGAACTAGAAGAGAGAAGGAAACCTCTCCGTGTCTGTGAACTAACACCAATGTACAAGGGCTTCCTTATTCTGCCTTGGGAACCTAGAATGCTGGAGCTATGCTAATAAATGACCTGGTTTTCCTTTCCTAGGGATCAAGACGGAAGGGTTGTACCGAACTGTGGGCAGCAACATCCAGGTTCAGAAGCTGCTCTATGCCTTTTTTGGTAACAAATTTACGTTTTTTTATAAAAGAAAATTGGGATAAGTTTATACAGAAACAAATGTGACTGAAAGAGAAAGAGCACGTTTCTCTGGAAGGTTGAAAAACATTTTAAATTTGAGTTGTGGTCTTGTTCTGTTGCTCAGGCTAGTCCCAAATGCTTATGCTCAAGTAATCATCCTGCCTCAACTTCCCAAGCAGCACCATACATGGCCTGTAAAATATGAAGAAATATTTTCAGAGGTGAACCAGACAAATATTTTATACACTTTAAGTCAGAGACCACCTTGCATTGAATGAATGTCTGCCACCTCTCATCTCATCCTGTTCACTTCTCAGGCCCAAGAAAGCCAGTTCTACTACCGCCTCTCCGCTCAAATGTCTCTGGCCATGATGATTGTGTGCATGCGCACTTCCACCAAGTCCAAGCAGCACTCTTCAGTCTGCCTTCCTTGCTCTCCCACTTGAACACATTCTCCTTCTGGGAACTATCTCCTTACTTGACTCCCGTGATGCAATATTCTCCTCATTCTTTTAGCTTTGCATTTCTCTTTCATCAGTGACTCTTCCTGAATCCCCCTTTCCCCCTTCTACATTATAAAGGTATTTCCCAGAGTTCTATTGGGTACTCTATTACTTTTTCCTTTACTGAGTGATATTTGTACTGGATATGGGTTACATTTTCCTTTTAAACAGTATGGTGTCTCTGTCTCTGTGTCTCTCTGTCTCTCTGTCTCTGTCTCTCTCTCGCTTCCCTCCCTCCCTCCCTCCCTCCCTCCCTCCCCTTCTCTATCTTTCTCTCTCTCTCTCTCTCCCTCTCTCTCTCTCTCTCTCCCTCTCTCTCTCTCTCTCTCTCTCTCTCTCTCTCTCTCTCTCTCTCTCTCTCTCTCGGTGTCTTGTAATCTTTTTTGGATGCTTTTATGACTTATGGAGTGTCTTATTTTCATGGAGTCAAAGACCATTGAGGTACAGTGGTTGTTATTGGATTTTTTTTGTGATTCTCTGTAGATTATGTATTCAAATTTCTTTGGAAGTTTGTTAGGCTAGACATAAAGTATTCTCTACTGGCATGTTTAGGCCTGCAAGTATGTTTTTATGTCTCTTGTATCTTCATATCTTCATTCTTGTTGATTAGAACACAAATTGGGGGCTGGGGAAATGGCTCAGTGGGAAAAGAACTTACCACACAAGCATGAAGACCCAAATCTGGTTCCCTGGGACTCAGAGAAGCCAGAGAAGGTAGGGAACATCTATGATAGCAGTACACGTGAGGCAAATGGATAGTGGAGACAGAATTCCTGGAAGCTTGTGGCCCAGCTAACCTGAAGTATGACACAGAGAAGAAGAGACTATCTCAAAAAGTTGTTTGTGAGGAACAGCATCTTAGAGGGTGGGTACCCTGACCTCCACATGGGAGCCGTGACATAGTCCCACACTCAGGCATGCACAAACATGTACACAAAACTAAACATACACGCTATGTACATGCATATTATACAGATGCATCCAAAAGACAACATGAGTGTCTACTTGCTCTGTGAACTCCTGGCATTTTCAGCATAATTCTGTCATTTGACTTTCTTTTCTTCTTTTGTCTGGCCCGTGGAGTGTCGCCTTGGCATTATCATTTATACATGGCTTTGTATTTAGCAACTGACTCAAGTGTGATATTTAGGTTTTGGCCACTGCTTTCTCTAATAGCTCCTTCTTCTTTGTTACTGTGCTGGGTACATATTTCTTGATGTGTTGGGGATGGAACACTCAGTGTATTATGTATTT